GCGTTTGCTTGCTTAGCTTATTTTAAATCTATCAGTTCTTACGCGATAGTGGCGTCAATTTGATTTAGATCTTGAACTTGAACTAATGCATAGCCAGTAGAAGGTAAACTCAAATTATGAATATTTGTTAAAACAACCTTAAACTCGTATGTGCGATTAGATTGTAATGAATATGGCTGTATAGTCAATATGGATCTATCATTGTTCACACCGTACTTATAATTAGATCGATCTAAATAGAAGGGATCATCCGTACTTTAATATTAGTGGATTACAATAAAAATACTTGGATTAGTAAAGCAAGACGGATTGTATGGATCAATTCTTGTGTCATCAATTAACAGTTCAGTACCATTCAATTTTGTACCGTAAATACGACAGTAATAACTATATGTCCAATCCTGAAATATTTTAACATTATTATTAAAATATTATCTGTTTTGATGATATGTAAATTAATTTACAGATGATATAGAAATATTTGAATCAATGGAATATAAACCAGGATTGAATACTATCTGTTGCGCTATACCACGAGTTATCCATGATGTATCGTTTGGCAAGAGATTTACCTAAAAAAAAATATAGTGAATAAAGGTGAACTAATAATATAATTGATTAACTTACAATTATTTCAGATTGTATTATCGAAATATACGTTATTTTGTATGATGAAACTGTTGATCTTGCATTCATATAAACCGAATAATTCAACTGATATGTACCATATGCCAGTGTTCGTGCTGGCACATATAATACGGATGTTGTCGATGTTGGTAATTGATTCAAAATATTGTCCAACAATACTGTACGTGAGCACTGTTCATTAGTCGTATTACATTGTGCAATTGTCCATTGTTTTGTGTTCATGAGTGATAGTAAACAATTAATTGATGTAAAGGCGACAATAGAAAACGATTGATTTTGTGGAATTTGTCTAGCCGAACTTAGAACATCATTGTTAATAGCGAAAGTAATTTGTGGTGAATTACATTCGTTACTGTTCATCATGGGAAATATATCATAATAATTAGTTATTAAATTGTTTAATTGTGAGATACAACTGTTTTACTGCAAATCGTGAATGAATTCTATAATTCGATTGCTGACTAAAAATTACTTTTCTGTAAAATAGATTTATCGAAACTAAAATTATTAAAATACACTTTTGATTTCTGTAGTCAGAAATAAATATTGCTGTTGAAAAATTATGTGCTCAGTATCGCTGTCACACTATTCTTTAAAATAGTTTATAAATTTGAAAATATCTTTTGAATAAGATGCCATTTACAATATTTTTATTCTATTCTCTCAATATTTACGTCTGAAATATAAAAGATGATTTTTAGTAGCATATGTAAAATCTATCCATTTCTTTAAATAATTAATATGAAAAGTGAGAAAAAAATATTTAGATAATTGCTTTTTCTTGGTTTTTTCGTCTATGTTATTTAATCACGTGTTTTTGTTTGATCAAACCAAATTGACGTTGTAAATGAACGGTCTAAGCTGTTGATTCTGTTTATAACGTCAAAACAAAAAAAAAGAACTTACATGGGAGAGAGCTCATATTTTATCATACAGAGACAAATACTAATACATTTATGTAATAAAAATAAACCTGTACACCTTCTATCTAAAGCTGAATTTTCTACCCTCTTTACAGGGTGTAATTTTCATTGATTACACTGCTTAGAAGTACAATTAAATAGTGATCTTCACTCTCTATAACTCCAGTCAAAACTTATATATTTTGACAAGTTTGTAACGAAAAAACTTGAGAATTTTTAATTTTATCGTGCTTATAGAGTTCTAATAGTGTCTGACCCGTGAGATGGGTAGTATAAGAACAGGAGAAATATTTAAAGATACATAGAAAAAACACAAAGTCGACTTAAAACATTACTCAATAACTCTCTATCTAAATGAGCTTTATTCGACTCATTGGTACAGAATTAACATCCATGTACTATATATGAAATAAGTTTTTTACCATTTTTTCTGCAAAAATCTAGTTAAAATTTGATTCAGGACAGTTAAAGCTTATCTTGATACATGTCACACATGAACTTTTATTTGGAAAATAGTTAAATATTGTTGAACTTCTCAGAGAATTGATTAAACGATTAATCTTTATTCTCGTCAACGTGCCATGTTATAATCTTATCGAACATGTGGTAAGTTAAAGTAACATCGATAATGTGTAATATTCTAACAGATTCAAATTATTATAGTTTTCCAAAAGATCCTTTCAAATAACTACTTATGCAAAATAACTACTTATGCAAGAATTTTTGAAATCTTTTTTATAGAACCATTTGCCCTGGTTTTGACTCTCGAACGATCGAAACTAAATGTCTCTATCTTCTCCTTTCCTTCAGATGTTATTCAAATAAGAATTTTCTATATTTTGAAATAGATAGGAGCAAAAAGAGAAATTTTCTTTTCATAACAGTTTCATAAAATCGAACATACCCACGTCTAATGTAAAAATATTTCTATTGTTTATCCTTAGTACATCTCAACTATGACAAAATAGTCATGTACTCTTAAAATTATATTTTTTTAATTTTAATAACTGTTCCGTAAGAATATTTTAAAACGACATGCATTTATTTTCTTCTGCACACATCTTCATTTATATATAATATAAAAAAGGAAATTTTTCTAGCTCTAAATATTCTAACATCTTGAAAACAATTGCTTATCAACGACATACAAAAAAAAAAAGAGAAATATTTTCTCATTAATAAGTTGATTTGAATAATTAGTTCAAGTACTGATGATAGACCATTAATAGTACTTGATAAGCGAAAAGTGACGAGTATCAATTGATTTAAACGAATTTGAACATGCAGAAGAAGAACATTAAGACTATAAATATGTTTAATAATATTGTGTTATTTTGGTGCTGTGTATTGTATCAGACTTGTTAACATGCACATTTTCTGACATATTCGAATATGTCAAAAAATGTTCTTTTCAGACATAATATACATAACGGAATTTTATAATTTTACAAACCTGTCACAAAAGATAACTAGATGGCAATCACTTTATGCTCTTGAGATCATCCACTTGAGATCACCTGTGAAAGTAACATTGCACTATATGCGATGCACATGTCATTCAAGTTTTTTTTGCGTTTTTGAATTGTCAGTATGACCATACTGAATTATAATATGAACACTGAAGCGATTGAGAGCAAATAATTTAATTACAATACTCTTTATCTTATTAACAGTAGCCATAATAAAATTAAAATTTTTTTAATTAATAAAATCCGAGGTTCCAATTCTTTTTAGAGTGACTTTCAAAGAAAAATGTACAGTATTATTGTACTTGATTTATATAACCATATAATTTCAGATATAAGTTTATTATTTAATTTTTTCTGAAAATTACTTTGAACATGGCCGAAACCTTAAATTCATCGTAATATAATAATTGTATTGTGACAAAATTCTTTTTTCGCCTATATTTATATATCTCACTCTTTAACCTTTTTTCGTTTGCTATAATAAAGATATTTATTTTCGTATTTCGTTGTTCCGTCGGTTTTGTTTCGTTTTCCGATACATATATAAATAATGTGAATCGCATGGATTCACTAAGTCCATTGTCTGTAAGTCGAACGAATGTACCGTCGATATAGTATTATTTATTTTGTTGTAACTCGATCTTGTTACTACACAACTGAACGATACTTTTTTACGATCAGAGCGTCCGTATCTGTTGAAAAAGAAAAAGGTTATACTGATCAATCTCCAGAAGGTTTATTTAAATAGATGATTAGAAACGTGTTTCTTCGGGCGAAAATTCCTCGTCTAGAACAGTACACCTTTCTTTCTTTAAACAATAGCGTTTGATCGGGCGCAAAAGCTGTATGGAATAAAGTATTCAACATTTTTTTTATCAATCTTAAGTTTATTTCGTAAAATGATTGAAAATAATAATAATCATTTAACAGAACAAGTTTGATTGAAAATGGCGAATCTTTTGCTTGACAAATGAACACCCGACGCACAGTGCGCATCCAAGCGGAAATTTGGCGAAAAATCGAAATTTCTCGTTTTTCAAATATAAATAGTGCAAAATATAGCTCTTGAAATTCTCTATCGAATGGTGTATAAATGTCTATTTTG